GTTCTCTCAGCTGACATCTATTTTAATCATCACACACTAAGTCCAATCTATCAACCTGTTTTCTTTCCTGGTATTGAAAGAAAAAATAAATTAAGAAAGCTAGCAAGCTTAGAGAAAGAGAGGGAGAGAGTTCTGCTAAGGTAATTCCACTGTACAAATCTGAGAGGATGCTCTGTGCTCACAGAAGAGGATGAAGCAGTCACCACAGAACAAGGAAGGTAGAGTTAGACGTCAGCTCCTCCTAAACCAAAAATGAGGAAAGGCCTTACAGGAGCTATGTTATGTTCATGAAATATGGGGAATGGCAACATCAGACATTCAATATTAAGAAGTTAAATATTAAAACACATTGCAAAACAAACAACAAAAAAAAAACACACGACTGTGTTTTATGTATATGATTTACATATATATGTATGCACATATATATTTTTTGAAACCTGATTACTTAACATTTAGTAGTAAGAGTTATTAGCTAACTGTATAATTTTGCTTTCATTTAGATTTGTGTAAGTTAGAAAATACTAACAGAACAATTAATTCCTAAGATTTACTTCTGCCAGTCTATTGCTCATTACTCTACGTGAAAAAAAGTTCAAAATCTTCTTCATTTTAGTAGGAAAAAGATTATTCAAGTTTTAAAAGTATTTTGCTTTCAATATTAAACATCTTTTATTGTATGTAAATTTAGTGGGAAATATAAATCACCCAGGCCTTAATATTAAATCTTGCTTTAGTAAACTATATTAGGTTGCTATTTTTAGCACTTACCTAGTCAAGAGAATATTAATTTTTGAAACTGTATTATCTTTTGAAATGTAGCTATCATGGTTACTATAGTTACCTAATTTTCCTTTCAGGCTACTCTAATTGGAAAAAAGGAGGAAATACAGTATTTAGGTGTAATTAAGAATAGGCAATCTTATTAAAATCCTTTGAAAACAAGTTTTTCTTTTTTAACAATATTAGTGGCAAAATGTTAGTGAGTCCTAGTATTTACTTCATGGCAATGTTGGGGAAATTTTTCATTAGACTAAAGACGAATATTTTTATAATTCTTGTCTCCTGATGTAAATTACAAATTTACTGTTTCTGACATAACAAATCCTTCATTGTTCAGCAACACTTCACACATATTTTACCGAGATAAAGCACTAAACAAGAGACAGAAATTCTCACCTTCAAGGCATTACACCACACCTAGTACCTTTAAATAAATGCACCAAGAACCACCTGAAGCCAAAGTTTCTTCATAGTGAAATCATTTAATGATTAGATCCCAGGGTAGTGCAATAATACATAAGAGCCATGAGCATGAGCAATACTCAGTGATTTGTTTCTCAAGGTTACCCTAATAGTTTTTGAAATTTATTGTTACTCATCTTAAGCTGTGGTTTGATTGGGGATGAGGTGATTCAGAAGAAATACAAAAAGGAAGCCTACCATGGAATCATAAAGCGTGTACAAAGGATGGTGGTTTATCCTTAAAAATAGGACATTAAAGCATAAATGTATTTATTTTCCTGATAATAAGAGATTAGCCTGTTTGGTTTTCTTAATAATTAGTATCCTGTCCAAGAAGGAGTGAAAGCTGAATATCAGAAAAAACTCTAGGATTTTAACCTCTCTTTATAGATAGAACACTGGTGGCACAGTAGTTAAGAGCTCAGCTGCTAACCAAAATACTCGCAGTTCAAATCCACCAGACGCTCCTTGGAAACCCTACGGGGCAGTTCTACTCTGTCCTATAGGATCGCTATGAGTACGAATCAACTTGACAGTAATGGGTTTGGTGTTTTTTTGTTTGTTTGTTTATACAGATAGAGTCAAGAAATCAAACAACATATTACATTGGGCAAATATGCTGCAAAAGACCTTTTTAAAGTGTTAAAAAGCAAAGATATCACCTTGAGGACTAAGGTACACCTGACCCAAGCCATGGTATTTTCAATTGCTTCATATGCATGCAAAAGCTGGACAAGGAATAAAGAAAACCAAAGAAGAACTGATGCATTTGAATTATGATGCTGGTAAAGAATACTGAATATACCATGAAAAACAAACAAATCTGTCTTGGAAGAAGTACAGCCAGAATGCTCCATAGAAGCAAGGATGTCGAGATTTCATCTTACTTTGGACGTGTTATTAGGAGGGACCAGTCCCTGGAGAAGGACATAGTGCTTGATAAAGTAAAGGGTCAGCGAGAAAGAGGAAGACCCCCAACGAGACAGACCGCCACAGTAGCTACAACAACAGGCTCAAACATAGCAACAACTGGGAGGATGGTGCAGGACCAGGCAGCGTTTTGTTCTGTTGTACACAGGGTCCCTATGAGTTGGAACTAACTCAACGGCACCTAACAACAACAGTTAACAATACAGATAGAAAGGTCCCTGGGTAGCGCAAGTGGTTTGCACTTGACTACTAACCTGAAGGCGGGCTGTTCAAGCCCACCTAGCAGTGTCATGGAAGAAAGCCCTGGCAATCTTTTTCTACAAAGACTACAGCCAAGAAAACCCTATGGAGCAATTCTATTCTGTAACACATGGGGTTGCCATGAGTCAGAATCGACTTGATGGCAACACATTTAGTTTGGTTTATATAGACAGAAGAGGACCCTTTAAGCTTTAAATTACTCCACCAGAGACTTTTAAAACTTCAGTACATATATTAGAGAGAGGTGCAAAAACAGTGATCACAACATTACATAACCTATATATAAACTGTAATACTCCAAATCAAAAGAATGTTACATTCCACTCTTTCTTTTCTAGCGCATACCTTTAAAAAAGCTAGAGGTAATTTCCTTCTATTCTTCACTTGAAATTTAGTTGCAATTACAAAAACTTCTTTTAAGAAAAAAGCTTAGTACAAACAGCCTAAAGAATAGTTGGAGTTAAGTATCAAGTCAAAGTGCTTCACAAATACCAGTTCTCGTTCTATATGTGACAAGGATTTCATCATGGTTTGCACAGTCATTTTGCTAGGCTTACTTAGAATAACAAAATGCACAAAGTGACCTAGGGATTCACTACATGAAAAATCCAGTAAACGTACGGTCTGAAAACAGATACAACACAGAATTTCTTTGCATGGAAACATTCATCATTTCATCTAATTTTTTCTATTTTGGTTCCTTGTGAATAGATTCACTTTAGTTAGATAAATTTATTTCCTACTAAAACAACAAAACACAGGAAGGCATCAAAGAAGCAACAACCATCTTTAAAACAAACAAACAAAATTGCAGTTGATTTCCTTAAGTTAATTTCTTTTTTAAAAATCCAGCATGCATTTTATTGGTTTAAAAAAAGGTGTAATAGTCCAAAGAGAAAAAAGTATTTATCCCACATAATTAAACACTCAACTTGCCAATCCATGCAGAGCCAGACATTTACTAAGCCTGTGATTTCAGTGGCCAGCAGAGAACAGCAGTTCATAATATTCACATTTAAAAATGTGTGTAAGTAATCTGTTAACTTTCACCAGCTTATACTCTTTTCATAACACATTTGTTATGTGTGGCTCATGTTCACAGAACATATTCTAAATTACAGCATGATGATAAACTCACCTGTGTACATTTATTCCAGAGTTAACCTGTATTTTGTTAATCAGTTTACATCCTTTTTTAGAAAAAGTACTTAAAAAACAAAGTGCCGATATACCAAATATCTAAGACGTGTAAAAGGATGAAGTCTTTGATGCATCTTAAACTGGTAATACATTAATGGTGATAACATTTAAGGAAGTAGTAAAAATGCTGAACCTGCCACAGGATCAGAAAATATTCTATTAGGTTTCCTGAAAGGATGTTTTCTATTGTCATCATTAGAATTTGAAACTAAGAAGCTATATTTTTAACTATCTATTATCTATTAAAATTTCAAAAAAACAAGATTAAGGAATGAACAGTAGGAAATGCCAGTACAAATATCCTATTTCTTCAGAAAAATAAAGTGATTATAGATATCTTTGGTGTACAGAAGCACTTATTTTTATACATTAAAACCCACATAGTTTTTAAAACATTTATATTATTTAAATTTGTGACTTCAAATGGGTGATGTGGCGAGATGTTTTGATATATCTGATTCTTGCAGAAATAATGCCAAATTGACTGCTTAGTCACTAAGCTATCTTTCTGGGAGTCAACATAAAGAAAAATAGAAGAATATTAATAAGCATTTGTATGAATTTTTTTTTAAATCCTCAAATAGTCACAAATATCCAGTAATATAAGGATTTTGGTAATACCAAAGGAAAAAAAAGCTAGAAATTGCATTTAAGTTTTAAAAGATGGACTTTTATGTCATGTCTATTACATAAAGTTTATAAAATTCTCATTTACATACGTGTATTACTTCCAAATATATATTTTAAGCTTGGTGGTATATCTAGGTTGAAAAATAATTGATTATCAAGAAACCAAACAAACATGAAAGGGATATAAAATTGTTAATTTACAAATGCATACGTAGAAAAATAATTTTAGATACAGAATTTAATGTGCTTTACTGCCTGAGATTTACTGTCAGAATCCTCCTTAAGCTCAGCCCTGGAATTCTGATTAAGTCTCTGAGCAAGACACCCCCACTGTTGCAACCTACTTAACTAATGAACATGTAATTAAGCAGAAAAGAAATAATTTAACTGGCTATACAGGAAGCTATAACTATGGCTGCTAAACCATAAATGCATCTAGAAAGACAGACAAATGTCCAGATCTACATAATTCTAAAAGTTTTAAGTAAAAATTCAAAATATTGAGGTCATCTGTCTCTCTCAAAATTTATAAATCCAAACAGTCACAGCGATAGACACACGTTAACTTACTATTTTGTTCAATAAACAAGATAACATCACGAAAGAGATTCCTGAATGTGTTTGGAGTTGGTCTTTATAAATTAAGAAATATATGCTTAGACTTATGTTCCCCCTGAAGTCACCATACCCAATCCTGTCTGCTTGTTAGGCTATTGCAAAAACACAGCACTCACCAGTACAAAATGGTATGCATACAGCGCTGTACAATGGTGAATTACAAAAAGTTTGTCACCAATCGCTCTCCAATACAAAACAAGAAGCAACAAATCTGTAAGAAGGAAAAATAAGTAAGATATTACACAGGAAGAAAGCTGCATTGTTACCCAAATGTATTTAACTCTTTCCCTTGGCAAATCATCCCTGTCTACTCTGAGCCCACAGCAGTCTACTCATACCTCAGCTAGTCCATCAACCCACTTTTTTGTAAAGTATCTGCTTTGATAGAACTGTCTCACCCACTATGGGGTTGGGGGGCATTGGTACTTCAGTGGTTGAATTCTCACCTTCCATTCAGGAGACCGAGGTTCGATTACCAGTCAATGTACCTCATGCTCAGCTACCACCTGTCCGTCAGTGGAGGCTTGTGTGTCGTTATGATACTAGAAAGGTTTCAGCAGAGCTTCCAGACTAAGATAAACTAGGAACAAAGTCCTGGAGATCTAATTCTGAAAAAGCAGCTAATGAAAACCCTATGGATCACAACGGTCCCATCACGTTGTGCATGGAGTTGACAGTACGTATCTAAGAATCTAACAACAATAACACCCACTACACTGTGGTTCCTTCAGGATGAGAGCCAAGTTGTAGGCATCTTTATACTCATAGAATCTAGCACCAAACCAAAAACCCATTGCCACTGAGTCAATTCCAACTCATGGCGACCTCATGTGTTACGGAGTAAAACCAAGTTCCAAAGTGTTTTCTTGGCTGTAATCTCTGAAGAAACAGATAAGCAGGACTTCATTCTGCAGTGCCGTTGGGTGGGTTTGAACCGCCAACTTTTCAGCTAGTAGCCAAGCACAAACCATTTGTGCTACCCGGAGACCTACAGTGTCTGGCGTATAGGCATGTAACATATTATCTGTTGAATGAATAAATGGATAACTTGTTTCCAGTGTTAAATAAAATGAAAATATTATCAAACAATTTTTTAAAAAGCTTAGATTATTGATTTTCATCATTACATTAATTCAGACAGAGATAAGATGGTGGTATAAAATGACCAACTGATTTATAACACAAATTCAACAAAAATATAGAAAATGAACAAAGGACAAATTAAATACTAATTTCAAATGGCAAAACCACCATGAAGTCACGATGGTAATTTTTCCTTAAAAGGTCCTGAATTGAAACACTATAAGTTAGGAAACATACCAAAACCGAAAAACCTCAAAATGTCAATGTAACTTTTTATTGTGGCTTTTTAACCACCTGGTTAAGATGAAATTTAGACATGGAAACAAATGGCTAACATGGATGGACACCAGAGGGAGGATTCAGGTTTTGTGAGGTCTAAAGCTTATATAAAGTGGGACCTTCTCTTATAAAAATAAAAATTGCAAATAAAAAATTAGATATCAATACTTAGAAAGAAAATGCATCATAAAATTACAAATTTTAAATAGAAAATAAATACCACAAATGTGAAATATCAAGAAAAGTAATATAACAGCCCTGGTAGCATAGTGGTTAAGAGTTCGGCTGCTAACCATAAAAGTTGGCAGTTCAAATCCACCAGGCACTCCTTGGAAACCGTATGGGGCAGTTCTACTTTGTCCTATAGGGTCGCTATGAGTCGGAATCGACTCGACGGCAATGAGTACTTTTTCCCCCTACATATTTTGGTTGCACACTCTTTGGTCATCAATTTATATGACAATGATTTTATAATTCTCTTCTGTAGAGAGAATAAAAAGAATTCACTTTTCATTCAGCTTTTAAAAATTTCTGATAGTTTAGAAAAGCTTCTTTAACTCCATAGCTCTTGTTTGTAAGTTTTTTGGATTATCTTATTTGAGAAAACCTTTATCAAGTTTCTTTCATACAAGAGTTCCCGGAGAGTAACTACTCTCGGAATTGATAACATTCATTAACCAGTGTACGTGGTGTATTATGAATTTTGTGTTATCCCGGACAAAGACGGCGTTTTGTGTCAAAGCAGAAAATCTTTTTCCAACATATCAGTGATTCACTCCTTTTAACCTATTAACTAATTATTTATACTAAAATTTAGCTCTTCCTTTTAATGAATTACTGCATTTTGGTATGATCTAATTCTTTTGGTTACAATTCACTTCTTAGTTTCAGAAAAATGTTTATTGATTTCATTTATCATTTTTGTTTCATATTCCATTATTTTTATTTGATTTTCTCTCAATTTTGTAATAAATTTGAAAATTACAAAATACAGTTCCTATATAAATGTCCAAATCAGGAATCTGTTATTTCTCTCTTGTTTTATTGAGATGGTCCCAATGTCTTTTGCAGTTAAAATGACATGTTCCCAACTTCCCCTTTACCTAATTGTACAAGTGCCCTTGGCCACTCCAACTCCATCTAACATGAGGGGAAATATGAGAGAGGTGAATGTGGAGTAGAAAAAGTCTGGATTTTAATTGATTGTGGCTTAAACAGCTTACTTTTGCAAATTTTAACAAAACAAAACAATCAGCATAGGAGCACCATTCAAGGGCCCTTGCAAGTGAGGGATTCTGAAGCTTGAACTTCTTTAGCTTCACAGTTAATTACACCTGAGAGACTCTTAGGACACAAAGAGACAAAAAAACAAAATCCAAACTCACTGATTCCCACTCATGGCACCCCCATGTGTTACAGAGTAGAACTGAGCTCCATAGGGTTTTCTTGGCTGTAATCTTTACGGAAGCAGATCGCCACGCCTATCTTCCATGGCAACACTGTGTGGGTTCAAACCACCAACCTTTTGGTTAGCAGCCAAGAGCAAACTGTTTGCATCACCCAGGGACCTACAAAAGGACCCATCACTAGTAAAAAATGTCTGGGCTTCAGTTGTCTGGGGCTTCTCTCTGCAACAGTGATCTTCATCTGAGATCAGGACAAAAGCCAACTTTTATTTTTCTCTGTATGAATTCTAAAAGCTTCATTCTCAAATAAATAAACCAAAAGCATACACTATGTGGAACCCTGGTGGCTCAGTGGTTAACAGGTCGGCTGCTAACCAAAAGGTCAGTAGTTCGCATCCACCAGCCACTCCCTGGAAATCCTATGGGGGCAGTTCTACTCTGTCCTATACGATCGCTATGAGTTAGAATCGATTTGATGGCAATGAGTTCTGTTCGGTTCGGTTCTACACTATGTACTGTTAGCACAATTCCGCGAGTATTTTAAAAAGTAGTAGACAGTAAACCACTTATCACATACCAGAAACGAGGTAGCCTGAAGTAATAGCAATATTCACACTCCCAAGCGATGGATCACCCCTGTAAATATTAAAAAAAAGAAAAAAATTAAGTTTCCTTTTTCTCTTTTTTAGAACATGGGTTATAAATGATGCCTACTTTTTTGTCTATTGAGATTTAAATATAATGAAAACACTTACTGTAGTTTCTCAAATGTTAAGTTGCTATTTTCAAATATAAATCACAAAACACACAATAACAGCTTAGCAGAACTAAAATGATCCTGTAGTACTAGTACTAGCGGGCATATGCTGTCCCCAGGATAATCTCAAACCACGCCCCCTGAGGAAATCTTGTGGCCTTCCTGTCCAAGATGACTCATTTTAATCAAGAGATCTTCTGTAGTCCACAATTTCCCTGAAGTTTACTCTAGGCCCAAGCGAGTCTCCAAAATTTCCTTGAGAATAAATCATCAACTCTCAGAATTCTGACGAGGCTCAAATTCTCTAAAGTACCTAAAGCCAACCTATACCGAGGTCCCTGAATTAGAAGACCTCAAACCTTCTGAGGGTAGTGAAAAGTTCCCATGCATTTTGTACTAAAGCCACATTTTAAGAACTATTCCCAGAATCTCCAAATTCAGGGGGGTAAAATAAAGGTTACCAGTTTTTTGCTTTTTTCCTCAGAATTTGGAAGGTATCATCTACACTACCAGTGGAATTTACGATGGGCTTGGAGGATATCTAAGGGCCCACTATAGTTGACACTCCAGTGTATTAAGTCACCTAAGGAATGTCTCAATCGAAATTCTGGATCCCATTCTAAGCCTTACAATGTGTAAAATATTGTGTTAACTATGATAATACTTCCAACTGCATGAATAACCATAATTCTCATATATATTAGCTAAAAGTTTTACTAAGATAATTTAGCCAAAAGATAACATTTTATACATGTATTCTCAAATTATTGTTTGCAAGAGAATTTAAATGGAATTGCAGATGCTGATTTTTTTGACTCCTTTTTCTGAATTGGGGAGCCCTGGTGGCGCAGTGGTTTAGAACTTGGCTGCTAACCAAAAGGCCAGCAGTTGGAATCTACCAGCCACTCCCTGGGAACACTATGGGTCAGTTCTATTCTGTCCTACATGGTCGCTATGAGTCAGAATCGACTCGATGACGATGGGGATAGATTCTGAATCAGACAAACAAATACCCTTGAGAGATCATCTGGTCCAGCCTCTGATTTTGAACCAATATGGTATTATCATCATTATTTTACTGAGGACTAGGGGAATCTGCCTATTATCATACAATTAGGAAATGAACAGAGTTGGACAGCTTAACCTTGCTGTTTCAACCTCTACATATATCAATATCCTACACTTTTGCCCTACTAATGCTCTTTGCTCCAAAAAACAAATATAAATTATCAGTCCTTTATCTGATTAATAATGTGAACTAATGGTGAAATATTTAAATCTCAATAGAAAAAAAAAGTAAGTGTCATTTGCAACAAAATAAAACTGTCAACACCTAAAACTACAAATGGAAAGATTTAGCACAAGTCATGTCTTCTTTACAAATTTGGATCTGAAAAATATAACATATGAAAACTGAACTGGAATAAATTATGGCATAAAAATGCAAAAATAAAAAAAATAATAAGTTGAAGTTTGTCAAGAAAAATCTTGATCAATGAGTCAACTCTGTTGTAAAATTTACTTCCCAAAACAATTAGTTCTTCTGAAAACCATCTAAGTAAAATAAAAGTTAAAAAAAAAAAAAAAAAAAAAAAAAAAAAACTAGAAATTGTTTAGGTAGACTGTATAGAAACCTGGTCAAGGAATTAAATTGACTAAATTGATTCACTCCAAAATATGGCTTCCCAGTGAAAATTCATCAATATTGCTATAATACTGATTGGAATAATTCCATATTGATGAATAAAACACAGCATCCTTGCAAACAGTGGTGGTCAAAATGCCTGGTCAAACTGTCCCCAGAGCCCATGTCTACCATGTCCCAGTGCAGTGCTTTCTCAAAACACATCTCTCAAACTAAGCTGAACTAAAACTTTCTTACAGCACAAGGAAATACATTTTGTAAAATTGCTGCCATTGGAATGAGTTTAAACTTTTCAAAAGGAACCATCTTACAAATCATCCTATGATTGATGAATACAGTCACTATTAGTGCCTCAAATCCTCGTGTGGTACTAAATTCTTCTCACATAGCCATCAATAATTCTTATTTTTCATCTCTTTGATATTAATTAATGGCTACAACTTCATGAATTTCAAGACTAAGTCTTAAGTAGCTATTATCCAAGTTGACTAACGTATCTCAATAATAACTCATTTTTACTCAGAACAGTAGTTACAATAACTTGGTTTTATTCACTAACACAGAAAAAATGTTTGTATTACTACCATATACTCCCTATTTTTGATAACAATTGTAATACTTAGTCAAAATGGCCCTCATATGTACTCAAATCTAAAATAAATCATATTAAGGCAACTTGCTGAAATAAATCTTGAACACATGCATTTTCATAAAACATACACCATCTGTATGCTTTATATTTTAAGGTAAGAAATGTTTTTATTAATAATTAATATAAAAATAGAATGAAATTGACTATCTTAGAAATAAACAGCTTACCAAAGTGGATCAGCTATAGCAGCCTCATCAAAAAAGAAAATATACAGGCTGAAAACTCCAACCACTAAAGAATGGCATGTGGATACCACCCTGAAATGAAACAAAATACAAAGATTTTAGATTCTTTGCACCAAACTTTAACTCATTCTGGGAAGACATTTAGCATTCTTAAGAAGTTATATCTAGAAGCATTTAAATACTGTAGTGGATCCATCTCAGAGTATAATACAAAACTGCCATTTAGAAACCCAAGGGCCACACTTTACTTTGGAATTAATGACAAAAAGACTGCCTGTGACTGCAGTTCCCCTGCTAGAAAACCAAGGAATCACTTCTTGGTGAAGAGCTCTAAAGCAGAAGCATACGTGATAATGCAGTTGATGGAGTTTTGGACAGAGAGATGGCAATTGATAAGCCCACTACCCAGCACCCTGCTCCCAGCTCCATCTCCAACAGGGTCACTGCAGGCTGAGTTTCCTGCTCTTTAGGAAATCAGTTCGGAATGCTTCCAAATCTATTGACCTTTAACCACTTCCTTATCTTAAAACTGAGCCCGGGTGGCACAGTGGTTAAGAGATCAGCTGCTAACCAAAAGGTCAGCAGTTTGGCAGTTTAGATCTACCAGCTGCTCCTTGCAAACCCTAAACCCTACGGGACAGTTCTACCCTGTCCTATAGGGTCGCTATGAGTTGGAATCCACTTGATGGCAACCGGTTTTTTTTTTTTTTTTTTGCTCTGGTATCCTTAAAACAGATTTCAGATGGATCATGAAATGAAGATGTATTACCTGGGAGATTTCAGTTTTAAAGGTACATCCACATGCATTATTTCACTTGATTTTTGTAACGAAGCCGTGAGAAAGCTAGGGCAGCAATTATTAGTCCTTTTTTAACAGTACTATGAAAGCCCTTATAAACAGAGAAATTGAGGCCTGTGTACAGAGAATCAGTTATTAAAAGGAGCATTCAAGTGAAAGCAAATGTTCACAAGATCCAGGTCCAGTTTTCTTTTACAGAAAGAATAAGGTTTAAATGAAAAACATCAGTTTCTACGAACATACCCTGCTAATTAATAATTTAATCACTCAAATGATACCCTAAATCTATGATGTGCCACTTAAAGAACTATACGTAGGTTACTGTGTATTTATCCACAGTGAAGTTTTTTATCCAACAATTTAGGATTTCTCATATCTTGATTAAGTTTGCAAGTAATGAAGTTTATTTTCTCTTCAACAGAATAAAAATTAAAAGGAACAGCAAAGCTTTCCCTCTAGAAATTACTGGTGTGCAATAAATATTTCTCTATAATATGACCCCAAATATTTCAAAATAACTGAAATATATCAACCAAAATTAAGCTTGATATTAGAAGATCTCATCATAACATGAAAAAACAATATATTTGCTCTAATAGATGATATATTCCTAAATAGATGAGTTTAATCATACTAAACCAAATGTTATTTTAAAGTCTCAAAGAATCTCACTAATTTAAAGGCACTGATCCTTTATAATACCAAAGATCACTTTGACGTGTGAATAATTAGCCCAATTTATCTGACTTGCAAGTCTGGAATTTTCATGCCAAGCACACCTGTGTTCCATTTGGTTTAGCAAGAGAAAAACGTAAATGATGATTAAATGAAACACTCCATCTAAGTAATCCTACAGCCAGCTTTCTGTAGCTATTCAAAAATTCTGTAAGAGGAAAAAAGAAAAAGCATAGCCTCTCTTACTAACCAGTTTTAGTGTTCAATAACCTTAAGTCCAAAACTTTCCTTTCAGAAGAAATCTCTTTGTTCCTGATACTCAGGCCTCAAATTATCTTTTGTGTTGAGAAGTTATACGGTAAATGGTATGGATTACAAGCCCTCAGCTGATGGAAGTGGCATATTTTTCATTAAAACCAAAAACCCGTTGCTATTGAGTCCATTCCAACTCATATCGACCCAAGAGGACAGAGTGAAACTGCCCCGCAGGGTTTCCGAGGAGCAGCTGGTGGATTCCAACTGCCGACCTTTTGGTTAGCAGCCAAGCTCTTAACCATTGAGCCACCAGGACTCCTATAATTCATTACAGGACAGTTGAATGTAACATGGACCAAACCGTCCCCATTATAAGGAACAGGAGAAGCAGACACCCTGCGGTTACATACTATTCTATGTTAAAAGTCTATAATTTGAAGCTTCTTTGTTAGTACAAATTTCCTATCGTATTCTTTAAAATTAGATTCCTGACAAAGTAAAATGTAAATTCATTAGTGTCTAAAAAGAAATAGCAAAATGCTGCCCAAGATAAAATATTTCAATTTTTTTCAAAGAAGATTAAATAGAAATGTTTGTGCTTACAAAAAGATACTGGCTTTCTAGGAAATAATCAGTGATTGTTTTTAGAACAGCTATTTAAAGTTACTGATTTAATCATTCACAAATAGTCTGAGTATTACCAGTAGAAATGGTATCTCAAATAAACAGGAGAGTTAAATTTTGGAGAAGTAGATTCAAAATTAGGAGTATTTCCACACAATGGAACTTTCTAAGCTATATGACAGCAACTGGATAAAAATAATTAAGAAAATTTTAAAAATTTAAGATATTTTATATATCATCTACGAGCATGTAAGTTTTTAGAAAAGGCAACAATTAAACACAGCAACGTCTCATTTATAATTAAGCTGTTAGCCCTCAAGTGTACATTTTCTGGTGAAGTTTCCTCCTCTCTTTTTTCTATTAGATGGCTTAAACCACCTACGGTTCAGAGACTTTTTCCTGATTACTAGGAAGAACTATGTGTGTTGTATTGATGCATCTGTTTCAAGGCTGGAGGCTGGGTTTCAAGACTGGAGGCTGGGTTTCAAGACAAATGTCAGTTTTTTCCCTTTTTGCACTCTCCACTTCATAGTTGGAGTGGGAAGCAGGACTAACTCTAAACTATGTGAGACAGAGAGAGACAGAGAGAGAGAGACAGAGAGAACACATCATTTGAAGAGCTAAATGAAATTTACATAATCCCAGGCTCCTTTTGCAAATGGGAACTCACTTTCCCAAATGCTAATTCCCTGCAGCCTAGAATGGCAGTGATGAGACTAAATGATGTAAAGGATTTTTTAATTTCACTGTTTTGTTTCATTTTCAAGTTTGCATCTATCTCTCCATACCCGCCCCCCCTCCGCCCCATTTCTTTGACTTGCAGCTACCGATGCAAAAGCTGGGGAATGAATAAGGAAGACCGAAGAATTGATGCCTCTGAATTATGGTATTGGCAAAGAATACTGAATATACCATGGACTGCCAAAAGAATGAACAGATCTGTCTTGGAAGAAGTACAGCCAGAATGCTCCCTAGAAGCGAGGATGGGAGACTTCTTCTCACATACTTTGAACATGTTATCAGGAGGCACCAGTCCCTGGAGTAGGACATCATGCTTGGTAAATTAGAGGGTCAGTGAAAAAGAAGACGACCCTCAACAAGATGGACTGACACAGTGGCTACAACAATGGGCTCAAGCATAACAATCATGAGGATGGCGGAGGACCAGGTAGTGTTTTGTTCTGTTGTACACAGGGTCACTATGAGTCAGAACTGACTTGACAGCACCTAACAACAACAAGACTGAAAATCCTTTAGCCTACGCTAACCACAGTGAAAAACAAATGGAGAGCTCAAATTGGTAGCAGAGACTGCACGGCCCCCCATCCCACTCTCCCTTCTCTTTTCCACTATTCCACCTATCTCCATACGTCAGGAAGAGTTTAAAACAAATAATGGTTAGTACTTTAGTATGGTACATTTCAACAACACAATGTGTGCTATTCTTAAGACAAAAAAAAATACTTCTCATTTTTCAAACATAGGTGGAGAAATGATTCTTGCTTTTTGGGCAAGAAGAACTATAGCATGTATGAACCAGACAAATCAGTATAAGGTGCACAAGAAAACAACTGAAGTCTAATTCACATTAGGATTTATAAAAGTGGATGCCTGAAAGGTAGAAACTTGCTAAATGTTCATCAAAAGATGGGTGGATAAACAAAATATGGCACATATGTAAGTGGGATATCACTCAGCCCTAAAGAGAAATGAAGTCCTGATATTACAACATGGATAAACCTTGAAAACATTAAGCTGAATGAAATAAGTCAGTAACAGAAAAGACAAATGTTGTATGATCTCACATGAAATATCTAGAACAGGCAAGTACATAGAGACCAAAGTTTCTGAGTGGTTACCACAGGCGGGAGAGATGGTACAGGAAAGAAAGATACAATGCTTAGGGAACACTGAGAGTCTTTTAAGGATGATGGAAAAATTCAGGAATGGTTAATGATGATGTGATGGCTGAACAACATGACGAACGTACTTCATGTCACTGAACTGTACATGTGAAGACTGTTGAAATGACAAATGTTTTGTTACCTATACATTTACCACAAAAAAAGTGGAGGCCTACAAAACAATTTGACTCAAACAAAAATAGGGGATTTCAGGTCAACTATGATCTTTCTCAAATACTCAGACATTTGGCAGAAGTTCTTTAATTCTACAAGAAAAGTCAATGGAAAACAATTATAGCAATTTTAAAGACTTGCTGAATTCATTTTATAGTTAACATTAAGTTCCACTAAATAACAACAAAAAATATTCCCATAGCTGCTACCATTCTCTGAGGTTTGCAAATGCACAGTGATGTCTGAGAACATGAAATGCTTTAAAGGAGGTGAAACAGTCATCAGAGTCATTTTGTGTTTGAAACCTTGTGAGACATTAATGAGTTGCAGGAAAAAAAAATGTATAGCCCATTTATCAAAAAACCACAACAGATTTTTACATCCTTAGATATTTTGTTCTTTTTCCTTTTTTTTATTTAAAAAATTCTAAAAAGTAATTTTTATTTTAGATCACAGCAAAAGAATACATTCTGGAGGGCTCTGAATTGTAATGAAAAGTATATTAAAAAAGAGATATGGATGCATATCATGTTCTGTGTTCTCTCATGTGTTGAGTTTAACTGCCCTAAGCCAGTCAATACTATACATATGCTACTCACAACGCCAAGGAATGTTTTCTTCTGTTATCACTTCTAAAGAACATGTGTTTTGTTATCTTAAATATTTCAGAAAAGAAGACAAAACAATAGTCTTAAACAAGCAGCTGGTGTCTCACCTCCCCACGCTTTCCCAGAAAGTTAAATAATTTTATCTTAACACATTTCAATATAAGAATTTTTCAAAATGTCGTGTATGACATTACTTCGTTCCTTTTACTCCTAAGGTCAAATAAAAAAAGTGACCTTAAATTCTGTAACATCTTCAATGAAAAATACTCTTTTGAGATATTTCAGATAGCTATTTTATGTCACAAAACTAGTTTTTGGTTTTTTTTAATCAGTTACATTTTTATATGCTTTACCTTGAGTTCCATTCAATCTTCTTTTCGAAGTTGAGACGATTAAAACCTGGACAAACTTTTGCTGAAAACCAAGAACTTAGAGAGTGGAAAAGAAGCTGAAAGATGACAAAGCTGGCAAAAATAGTGCCTAGTTTAGTGATGGTATCCATATTTCTTCAACCTGTTAAAAGAAATGATGGATATAAATTGCTATCTCATGATAAAACTACATTAAAAATTGCTTACATTTTAAAGAGCATGTAGTTTTTTTAGTAATTTTTTAAAATTTAGCACAAACGTAAAAATACAAGGAAATTATAAGAATTTTAAGCTTTTTGTGTTTCTTTGCCTTTACCAGCTATTTGTCATGTATCTTATATTTGTATTTAAAATAAAAGGGGGGGGGGGAATCTATTATCTTAAAGATCTCAGTGTTTTAGAAGACAGTTTTAACAACATGAGATTCAAAATCATCCAAGTCTTAAATTTTAACATTAAGAGGAAATCTGCAGTACTATAACTGAAGATATCCTTTTAGGAATATTATTTTTAATTAAACTTAGTAAAATACTCAACTAATTTCTCTATGCCTCAAATTCCTTATCTATAAAATGAGAGAGCTGGTTAGATAATTTCTAAGGTACAATTAAGCTAGAAGTCATAAGAGAAATAACATTACCTGCAAAATCAAAACAAACAATAATTATCCAATAAAAACTAACTGTACAGAAGGACAAGCAATATTTAGAATAAAATTAAGATCATAAGACTTAGAAAAGAACCATACCACTGTTACTACTTAAATCAGTATTTAACTTTGAAAAAATATTCTGCAGTCACACATTTCCTTGCACCAAAAATCCTCCATGGTTTTTATTTGGTTCCTAAAAACCTTAGTAACATTCAGATTAAAAACAGACAGTAATGCATTTGCTCATATCCAGCAAATAGAGCATTTCTATGGCTCCATTTCTGACGGAGCTGACCCTCAAATGAAAGGGAAACGAGTCAATACACATTTCCAGCTGCCTAATGTGAGGAAATGAAGTCACCTACTGAAGCCAGTTCACTAGAAAAAAGCCAAGTCATTGACTACACCAGCAATAACCCCACTTCATTCCCTTCCAACCAGGATATCATAGTAAGAATCAGTCTCCCACAGGGGCCCTTCCCACACAGCTCATGTGTCTATAACAAACTCTTCATTCTATTTTTTGTGCTCATTAATTTACACATATTACAATTCTTCTCACTGAGACTCCATTAACTATATTGCTCATTTACTTTTTTTTTAAATTCAACACATATTGATTATTAAAATATTTAATTTGAGGTCTTTTAGCCTAAGTTTAATATTAACCAAATAATACATAAAAGTTTTACACATAACTTAAATATCATTAAAATCTACTAAGTGAGGTGTAAAGGGGAAACATTCTTCTAAAACAAATAGGGGTTCGGAGGCCAGGGGTCAGATAAATGAAGAAAATGAAACCAGTCATCAGAACAGAGTGGAGAGTCTGTTCTTAACTGGAGGGATGGTTTGCTCTGAAGGGTTTTGCCTGCTCCCTCCTGGTCCTAGAGCAGGGCTGGGCACAGGCTGCTCATTGATTTTCATTAAAATCCAGTGTATACCGTGAGCATTTATTTCATAAATGTTTGTTAAAAGTTATGCTATAAAATATATTTATAAATAGGTATCATGTAACATCCCTTTTATGAACTGTTAATTTAACTAATCCAGTAGAAGGTACTCAAACAATTCACCATTAAGATATTCATCATTCCCCCCAAAAATATAAACTTTAATGTGAGCTGGTTTCTTAGGAGGGAAGAACATGAAAAGGCTTGACTGGAGCCGGTCTCTTCCTGGCAGGAGGACTTCCAGGGACAGGACTGACTCAGTCTTCACTTCAGCATCAGTTTATCCAACATTTGTCACATGTCTACCACATGCCAGGCACTGTGCTGGTGCTCCAACATAGAACGAGAACCTGCTAACCGCCCAGCAGGGAAACAGGCACACAAGTCATCACAATATAAAGCGTAAGTTCAGGATGCTGAGGGAGCACGCCCTGCTTTCCAGTGGATAAACACCCAGCAGAGATGACCACCAGGTAAGTTGAGAACTACCAAACTGCAAACAGTAACGATTACTCAAATTTTCCCATGTTTGTTATTTCCTAACAGGATAGGGGTTCCTTAGGGAGAAGGTCAGAATCCCCGATGCAACTACCATAACGCAAACGACTACACTCCTTCACTGTCTGATGCTACTTGCAGGTAAGAACCACTGCTGTAGTGTTTAGCAATAAATACTCTTAAAAAGAGGGACAAAGGTCTTTCCTGTTAGTTTTTAGGGGCAGCAAGTATGGGGAAGCTGGAAAGAACGCCCCACTCATGCTTAGCATTCTTTTTCCCATCCCTAGTAAGCTCCCCTTCCTATCTACATCGATTCTAAACATCCACTGCTCTCTTATCTCCAGCTCTTCTTCTCTTGTAACAGATGGGGTTTCTTCCCATTTCACCAAGAAAACAGAGGCTATCAGGCATGAACTCCCTCATCTTGGCAATGCTTTCCTCCCTCCCCTCCAGGCCCTCTTTACACAACTTCAACACTGCTTATTGTGTGCTCCCAGATGCCACCATCCCCCAGTGCACCAGTCTTGGATGGTCAGCTGCCCACTATATGGCTTCATCTGGGCATCCTGGAGGCCCTGCAGGCTTCCGTTCTTGTTGAGTTGGCACTGACTCACAGCCACCCTATATAACAGAACAAAATGTTGCCCAGTCCTGTGCCATCATCATGATCTTTGGTATGTTTGAGTCCATTGTTGTGGATACTGTGTCAATCCATCTCTTAAGGGTTTCCCTCACTTTCATTGACCTTTTACTTTACCAAACATGATGTCTTTTTCTAGAGATTAGTCTTTCCTGATGACATGTCCAAAGGAAGCAAGCCAAAGTCTTGCTATCCTCACTTTTAAGGAGCATTCTGGTTGTATTTCTTCTGACACTGATTTGTTCATTCTTCCGGCAGTCCATGGTATATCCAATATTCTACACTAACACTACAATTTGAATGCAGCAATTCTTCTTCTGTCTTCTTTTTTTCATTGTCCAGCTTATACATGCATATAAGGCAATCCAAAAGACCGTGGCTTGAGTCAGGTGCTACATGGCCCAAACTGAGCTCCACCTCAAACCATCCCTTCCTCCAATTCCACGTATTAGTGAATGACACTGTGATCCAAACGCTTCCCCATCTTCCAATCTAAAACAACAGGTCATCCTTGACTCCTTCCTATTCCTCACGCCCACAATTAACTGACTGCTACATCCTAGTAGATGGAAGAATGCCAAATGAAGCATAAGTTGATTCCAGAGAAATTCTGAAAGTTTCTCATGATAGCTTTGTGAATAATACAAAGAAGTATGGGCTGGATAACAAAATTAGGTAAAACCAGAGCCAGCTGAATAACTAGAAGCAGAGTGTAGATCAATGGCCTGAAGTAGGCTTGAGAAATATCTCCTGCTATTCTATCAGGTTTTCTCTTCTGAGTGCTGCTTTCAGTAAATATGTTTACAAAGACACGTTTACTTACTCTGCATATGACACAGAACTGGGAAAGATAGCTAATATCATGGGTAACAGAATTATGTTTCAAAATAATCTGCATAATCTGGAATAATAAATCCCAATCAGAAAGATGAAAGGTAATAGGAATAAATTTTTTAAAGGCAACACCCAAGTACAGATCTTGATATAATAGCCACATGTGGGTACAGACACACACAAAGTGACACAAGGCAGCAAGAGATAACAGTGTAATGAAGATACTAAAAATTAAAATCAAACTTCAAGCTCATTTATAGTTGGATAGTGTGCAAGTATAGCTTTTAATCAAGATAAGTTATCAGTCCCACTTTACTCAGGATAATCACATACCAAAGTACCTTTAGGGTAGTATAACTAAGAAGGTGATTTTAGAAACCGTATTATATCATGAAAAGTTAAAGGCTCAGTAATGTTAGCCTGGGAACGAGATTACTTAGGGGAGACGTGAGAGAATTCTTCAAACATCTAAAGAAGTGCCATGTAAAAAATGAAAGATGGAACTTACTCTGCATTACTCAAAACGGCACAAATGGGCAAAAATTACGAGAGAAGAATTCAGCTTAATCTAAGGAAAAACTGTCCAACAGTTTAGAAGTGGCCAGCACCCACAATGGAAGTGACAAAAGGATCACTAGGAAGATTGGTCTGCAGAGGGAGTGGGGGCACTAGTCTGACCTTCAGAGTACCCTCAAAGTAAGATTCTGGGATTCTAGGATTGAAATTAATTTTGGTGTCTAAAAGGATAATTTTGTATTAACTACTGCAGTAACTTCTTAACATTCTATCATTTAAAAACAGCAAAATTTCACATGCAAGAAAATATTCAGGATACATGGTGGTAAGTGCTTGGGCTCAGTCTGGTAGTCTTGGGTTTGCATCCCAGCTCCATCACTCACTAGCTGTGTGACCCCAGACAAGTTACTTAACTTGCTTTAACTGACGCTCAGGTTCCTCTTCTGTAAAACGGAGATAAAAATAGTACTACAGCACTGTGTTTACACAGCAGTCATGGGGAATAAACGATACAATGTTCATCGAGCACACAGAACAGAATATGGTATTTTTGCACTCAGTAAATCTCTGCATCCACTATCATCCATCTCAAGCAGCCTGAAGGACATGCAAATTCGGGGTCTGTTGTCACTCCAGCCAAGCAAAACAAGACCGTCCTCTGGACGCTAGGCTCTTTGTTCCTAACTCATCCCTGTTATCATCACTCAACACTGAAAATGTAGGTAGGCTCCACCACCAATGCAGAAATCTATCCTCTACCACCTGACTCTCTCCGTCATGCTCCAACCTTCCTTCCCGGCCACCTGACCCAGCCCATCACCCTCTCCACCTCCCAAGCACTTCCAATAAGCCCTCTGGAACCACTGCTCCACACCTAGATAACAGAGCTACATCATGGGCCTCTCCTCTCAGTGCCCTAAAGACACATTTCCTGAAATCCTCTCAGGTAGTGGCTGTCTAGACTCTCACACTTTGGAGTCAGAAGGCAGTCCTAGCATCTTTGTTCCTTGTGGCCCCCTTCAAGCCTTTCTCCCCCTACCCCTTGTGAACACCCATATCCTTTTTGGCCCTGCCATTCAGTTATACCATATTCCAACCTTCCAATCACTTCCTCCCATCCAAAGACTCAAAGACCCTCGTTCACTGATGTCCTCAGGCCCTGCCACCAATCTCCAACCCTCCATCCTCATACTCAGCAGATAATCCTCATCCTACTTCACACACACACACAAAATAGAAGCCAATATATGAAAACTCTCAAAATCCTACTACCAACCATGAACACTACCTACATCTAGATCCATCTGTCCTCCTTCCCAGCTACACAATAGAGGTGTTATCCTCCCATCTAAGGCCAACCTCTCCACCTGTGCACTTTAGATACATCCTTTCTCGCCTTCTTAAGGAATCTTTAACTCCTCATTATCCCTTACTCTCTCCTCTTCAATTCGATCCTTCTACTGGGTTTTAAACATTCTCAAGTTTCTGACAAAAACAAAATTCAACAGATCTACAACGTCTTCTCCAATCCTATTTCTCTTTTCCTAAATATATATATATATTTTCCCCCACTCTCTCTACCCCTTTGCAACCAAAATTCTAGAAAGGTTTGTCCTTACTATGTTAGCATTTCTTATCCCTTTCACTCTTCAACCCACTCCATTCTTGTTCCTACTCTTATCACACTCCTGAAATAGCCACTGCCAATGCTAAGGTCAACAACAATGACTTCTATGTGCAGTCTTCATGTTATCTGATCTCTCAACAACATCACACACCACTGATCACTTTCTCCTTGAAACACTTTCTTCCCTGTGCTTCTATAACACCATACTTCTATTCTCCTCCTACCTCCGTGGCCACTCCTTTGACACCTTTGCAGGTCTTCTTCCTCTACCAGCCACTGAATAATAGACTTAAGGTTCAATCCTAAACCTTCTTCTCTCTACTCATTTCTTATGTGATTCCATCTCCATCTGTGGTTTCAATTAACACTTATATGCAGGTAAATCTCCAGTTTAAATATCCATCCCAGATCTCTCCTCTGAACATCTCAAAGACATCTCAAACTCAACAAACCCTAACCAAGCTCATCACCTGCCCCCTAAACTTGGCCCTCTTCTAGGTTCTTCATTTCAGTGAATGGTGACTGCATCCAAATCTGACAGCCAGAACCCTAGTGTGTCACCCTTGATAACTTACTTTCTCCATCTTCCTACTCTGCTGCCATATCCAATCGACCACCAAGTTCTATGGATTCTACTTCCTTAGTTTCCTAGTGCCACTGTAACAAAAATACCAAAAGTAGGTGGCTTTAAAGAATAGGAATTTTATTTTCTCACCATTTAGGAAGCTAGAAGTCCAAATTCATGGCACCAGCTACAGGGGAAGGCTCTCTCTCTCTCTGTAGACTCTGGGGGAACTTTGGGGGAAGAACCTTGTCTCTTTCAGCTTCTGTTCCTAGGTTCCTTGGTGATCTTCATGTGGTATGGCAGATATTCCATCTGTACTTGTTCCTGTGTCTAATCTGCTTTTTATCTCAAAAGTGATTGGCTTAATACACACCCTACACTGATATGGCCTCATTAACATAACAAAGAAAACCCTATTCCCAAATGGGATTACATCTACTGGTATAGGAGTTAGGATTCCCAGGCTTATTTTTGGAGGACACAATTCAACCCCTAACACCTCCTAAACAGCTTACAAAAGGATCCTCTTTTCTCAAGCTATTACCATCACTTTTCTGGACTGTTGTAATAGCCTCCAAATTGGACTTTTCAGTGTAAAATCAGACTGGAGTGCTCCAGGGGAATCTTTTCTAAAAGCTGTCTCCAACTTAAAACCCTTCACTGGTTTCCCAGTGCTCTTATGAGAGGACCCCACCTTCTCCAGCTTTAACTGGTGTTTGCCTTCGCTTGCTGCACTCCAGCTAAAGTGACCTTCTTTCTGTTTCTTAGACATGCCATGTTCCCTCTTTCCATAAGGCCTCTGTGTGTGTGTGTGTGTATATATATATGTGTGTGTGTGTATATATATATATGTGTATATATATGAATCCCACGCTTGCCCCTGCCCCTCCACTCCCATGTTAACTCCCACACTTCCTTCAGCTCACAGATCAATCCTCACTTCCTCAAGGAAGACTGCTCTGAGCTCCTTCAACATGTCAAACCCTTCTCCCCATTATATACCCTCATGGCACCTTGTGGCTCTCCTTTATAGCTGCAATTTAACATAATTTGTGATATATATATTTTTAAATGAATCCCTTCTCCCAGGGGCATGTGAGCCCCATGAGTGTGGGAACCATTGCCTTCTTTCCGCTCACCATTGACCCCAGGGCCTAAATAGTGCCTACCATACAGTAGGTACTCAATAAATGTCTGTTAAATAAAATAACAATAACAATATACATTCATACTCATGCATGTGCTTTCCATTTTGCTAATATCTCATCCGCTGCAGGTGCCTCATTTTACCAGTGTAATCTGAATACTGGAAAAAGATTTTCTAAATTGACAGTCCCAGTATTACAGCATGTAAACATAATAATTAACTTCAAAAGGACTCTTGTCTCCAAATATATCTAAAGAGTACCAATATTATAAATGAACTAATATTGGATATAGGTCCCTGGGTGGCGCAAACAGTTGGTGCTCCACTGCTAACCTAAAGGTTGGTGGTTCAACCCTACCCAGCAGTACAGTGGAGGTAAAGGCCTGGCGATCTGCTTCCGTTAATATTACAGTCAAGAAAATCCTACAGAGCAGTTCTATTCTGTACCACACGGGGTTGCCATGAGTCGAAATCGCCTCAAAGGCAACTAACAACAATGACATTGGGTATGTTGATATTTGATCTATTTCAAATTCCTTACAATACACAGTGTGTTAAAAGGTTTCATGAGTACGCATAATGACAATCTGTACCATATTTCAATACATTCCTCAAATACAGAAGTACATAATTACTGACTTATCTACCATCATCAGGAGCCCTAACATTCTATGATTTAAGTTTCTACCTGCAAACTAACTCATTTGTAAATGAACACATGACTGTTAGAAATGAGTTATTTACCAAACTAGCCAAACAAACAAAAAGAGCCCAATCAAAAACAGACACACCTGCCCCACACAGGACCTGTTTTTTGTTTGCATTTTCATATGGATGGTATATTGCAGTTATCTGTCTAAATGCTCATATCAATAACTGACCTAGAAATGTTAAAATCCCTTAGTATAAAATAACTATTACACTACCCACTTTTGATTTTTCATTCATGTAAAAAATAGAAAGCATCTAATACAGGCAAAGCATTTGGCTAACTGCTGGCAGTTTTTGTTTTTTGAAATTCTGCATTGAGAGCATTATTAAAACAAAAAAGTTAAGAATTATGCATGAAAATACTACATTTCTTTCTCTTTTCAGAACACCAAGTTCAACCACCATGAGCATTAGTGTGAAAGTCTATATGAAGCCAGCTGCTTAAAACAGTCACCCCAACCTCCATAAATCCTCTAGTATTCACGGTGCTGCTTTTTAAACTGACACAAATGGAAAAAAAAATGAAACTAAACCAAGGAAAGGCTAGGAAACCCTGCTTTAATATGTTTATGTTTTACTCCTTTTCTATGATGCTACTTAAGATTGAACAAGGAATTGCTATAGAAGAGTTCTCTATGGTTCCTCCCTGTCAGCTGAAACACTAAATTCTGAATAAAGGTATCCTTTCTCCATATTTTGATTCTCTACTTCCCATTCCTTTCTCCTCCAAGAGCAAATAATAGAATTCAAGTTAAAGAGAAACTATTCAGTTCTGTCTGCTACAGACCCTGGGTTTGACAGCCTTCCCAGTCCCAGAACATTTTTTTTTTTTTAAATTATAACAAAAAATAAGATACTTAAGGTTAAATATCCATACATTTCTAACTGGCCTTTATTTTCCCCCAAATACTATGCTACGCAATGTAATAATTAGACTCACAGGAAATTGTTATTGTTGTTAGTTAATTTCAACTTATAGTGACCCCATATGACCAAGAAGAACTGCCCTAGAAGATTTTCTAGACAGAAATCTTTACGGGAGCAGATTGCCAGGTCTTTCTCCTGCGGAGCTGCTGGGTGGGTTTGAACCACGAACCTTTTGGTTAGCAGCCGAGTGCTTAACCATTGCATTTAAACCCTGTTCCCCAAACTAGACTCTGTGAAGGCCAGCCACTCCCAGTGAAAAAGTATCCACACTCAAGTGCTCTAGGGCGGCCCCATGGCCCCAAATGCTATCACAACTCAGATAATTGTTTTGACAATTAATTCACAATGCTTCAAATTTCTTTAATCCACGTTTCCCTTATCTATCATAATCCTATTATTTCCCTTACCTATTATAATCCTGTCTGTCTTCTCACACCCTATATTAAATGCCTTCTAAGAATCCTTCTGTTTTTCAAATTTTCGTATCTCAACACACATACACACAGAGTACTTCTTCAGTATATATTCTGCTTATTCCTACCAGTCAAAAAGGTTTTGTAGAGTCTCCCTTTCTATAGTTGGTGGGAAAAAGTAGGTTTCTTGATATGTATTTTTTTAAACAGCACAAAGTCCCTACCAAGTGATTCTGACACAGCAGGGGTGGGGTTACGTCATCTCCTTCACCCCTCCCTGAGAATTCCTGCTCTTTTAAAACACAACTTCTTCTCCAAGCTCCCACAACACTTGATCAGTTCTCCCTCTCACTATAGATTATTTTTTAATTGGGATTTTAACAAACTTT